TTTTTAACTTTTTGATGTAAATCTATTGAATAGATTGACTTAGCCAAAGATGAACTCACTGAATTTTGAACAAAAACTTTCCACAATAGATTTTTAAAAAATTTTCATTTAAGTATAGTTGATTTTACAGTGTTATATTAGTTTCAGATTTATAGCAAATAGATTCAGTTATACATATATATATTATTTATCAGATTTCTTTCCTTATAGATTATTACAAAATACTGAGTATAGTTCCTTGTGCTATACAGTTAGTCACTGTTGGTTATCTATTTTATATATAGTAGTGTATACATATTAAGAATTTGAAAGCCTTGGTGTATTCTAATGTTTTTTGAGAAATGCCTACCTCTGCCTTGTAAAGTGAACTATAGGAACTTTAATTACATTTGTAGCAATATATACTGTGGGTTAGGATTTTCATCACTTCTAAATAAAAATTGATGCGAGCCTGACATGTTTAATGCCTTCATAAAGATCAGCTCATAGGTCAAGGTTCTTAGTGTGGATAAGCAACAACTTTCACATGCTAATTTAAAAATATTAATTTTAATTAGTTTGATATATGAATTTTAAATATATAATGCACACAATATTTATAACTATATAATATTTATAATATATTTATAAATATATAAAACTCATAAATATATAAATTATATTTAAATATATAAGCATATATTTATATTTATACTATATTTATATAATATACTTATAATATATAATTACAGTATATAATACATTATAAATATATTATCTTATATCTAATATGTTCAGTTCAGTTCAGTCATTCAGTCATTCAGTTGTGTCTGACTCTATGTGACCCCACGTCCTGCAGCACGCCAGGCTTCCCTGTCCATCACCAACTCCCGGAGTCTACTCAAACTCATGTCCATTGCATTTGTAATGCCATCCAACCATCTCATCCTCTGTCGTCCCCTTCTCCTCCCACCTTCAGTCATTCCCAGCATCAGGATCTTTTCCAATGTGTCGGTTCTTTGCATAAGGTGACAAAAGTATTGGAGTTTCAGCTTCAGCATCAGTCCTTCCAATGAATATTCAGGACTGATTTCCTTTAGGATTGACAGGTTGGATCTCATGAACCTTAAAATTGTTTGATAAGTGCATTTTAATAAAACTTGCTTTCATTGTAATTCTATATATTTTGAATTACCATGTTTAAAAGTATTATTATAAGAAGGGGATCTGTAGGTTTTATCAGGCTACCAAAGGTGTATACGGGACAAACATGACCAATAACCCCCTGCTTTTGATAATCATTCCCCTCAATAGCATCTGTCTAAGTCAAGGTATGTTTTGAGTACTCCTGTTATTGGTCATTTATATCTATAGTATTATTTATAAATAACACTTATAGAAACAAGAGCATCTCCACATTGCTTAGCACAGTATCTTCATACATATGAGTTGCTCTATCACTAGCTGTTTAATGAATGAATGAGGAAGGCAGTTATACAGTGCTTTTTTTTTTTTAAAGCTTTATTTATTTTAGTTGCACCCTGTGGCATGTGGGCTCTTAGTTCTTCAACCAGGGATCAAACCTGTACCCCATGCAGTGGAAGTGTGGAGTTTTAACCGCTGGACCACTGGGGAAGTCCCAGTATACAGTGCTTTTTAAAATATTTGTGTTATTTCTATAAAAGTGTTTATGCATGGTATAAAAACTTGACACAGTATAGAAACTTGCACAGAAGAAATAAAAATCACCCAAAAGGCTATCCCTATCATTCTTAACACTTTAATGATTTCTACAAATCTTCCAGACATGTGTATAAACATATATACACACCAACACATGCAGTTTTATATGAGGAAATCATATAATCATGTCTCATTATAATTTTTTTCTACTCACTGGATAATAGATTTCTTTCTATGTCAGTAAGATAAGTGTACTTCATTATTTATATCTGATCACATAATACTCCAGAATTCTTGCCTGGAGAATTCCATGAACAGAGGAGCCTGGTGGGCTGCAGTCCTTGGGGGTCACAAAGAGTTGAACATGACTCAGCGACTAACACTTTCACTTTTCCCTTATTTTGTTGTTTATATGTATATAGTTGACTCTGAGAATTCCCTATTGATGGATATTGACTTTTTTCATATTTTTTATTATTTTAAGTAATATTATAATAAACTATGCTGTGATTAGCATATTCATAAATAAAAGCATTTTATACTTGTGCAGTTATTGCCTTGGCGAAGTCCTAAGAAATGAGTTTGCATATTTTACATTTGGAAATTATAGTCAGTCTTCCTTTCATAAAAGTTTCTTTGCATTACACTTCCATGAACAGTACTTAGAATTCTGATTTTCACATTGTATCTTTGGCACACAAAGTTTTGACAGTTTTTTTAATCTTTATCAATTTGAAAGAGGAAAGAAAGCTCTATATTATTCCTTATTTATAATTTTGATTGTTAGGTTGCATATCTTTTCATTTGTTCTATACCCATATTCTTTTATGAATTAACTCATTATGTTCATATATGGGGGTGTGTATTTGTTTCATATAGAATTAAAAGAACTCCTTGTATATCATGCATATTAGCGTTAGGACTACTGGTTGAAACAATTCTCTATGAATTTGTTTTGTGATATTAACCTTAGTCATGCAATATTGCCCCTTCTTTTGGAAAAGGTAATTTCAGAACGTAGAGTCTTCTTCTTTCTTGAATTAGATAGGGGAAAAGTGATTAACAAATGTATTTAGTGTAAATAAGAATTTGTTAAATGTGTCAAGTCAAACATTTTAAGCAGTCTAGACAGGTTTAGACATAAGGAATTTCAGTGACTTTATTTTCCCCCTTATTTCTGTATCATTACACAAATAGTTCTACAACTATGTCACTAGAGGATCTTTTTGGTTCTTCACTTGTTTAATATTGAATTAATTGTACTCTATACTGTATGATGTGAAGTAAATTGTAAAAACACTTCTTATTCATCAAAACATAAATTACTTAATATGCTTTCTGTAATTCATCGAAAGTAGCTGTCAGAAACTTGGAGTGCATGCCTCTTTCCCACTTCTTATAAATTCAAAAGAATGCCTTGTGAAATTATTTTGCCACTTCATTTCACCTCTCAGAGTGGTTAGTGTCTATACAATACATTGCTGTGATATAGGAAAAAAAAGCCCTACCATTCATTAAAATTTAATTATAGTTGATTTTTCTTCTAAAGGATAAAAGGTTTATTACCTTTGTATTCCTGAAAATTTCTTATAACAATGAGCCTTTATCTCGTCTATTTAGAAAGAATAACTTTTGACATACTATAAAAGCTAATGTTAATCATCTTCTCTTGGTATCGTTGAATGCATTCTTGTATTTAACATTATTGCAGCTACTATAGAAGCAAAAAGAAATATAACTTAATCCAACAAACCTGTTAAAAATACCTATATATGCTAGACTGGCACTGTAAAGACAAAAAAAGTTTACTAGATGAAAATAATCAAGGAGTTGCAAGCTTGCTGGAGAAACAGGGAGTACATATATAGACATCAGAATTGATGTGTTATATTGAATGTTAATAAATTTTACTGTTTATTCAATTATTTAACCTGTTAAATACATCCTGTAGTTTTGTAACTCTTTACAATATTCTGCATTATGTGTTTATTCTACATAAACCTACTAAATTTTTTTATTCATGATTTATTTAAGGAATCTGTTATGAAAAGAACTGTGTATTGTAATTATACTTTGTGCCTTCTGCCCATGGGTTTCTCAGAGAACATATTTATGACAGAGGACGTATTTTAAATTTACTTTTCCTTATATTCTTAGAAGCCAAAGCGTCAACAGCTGAAAGAAATCAATTCTACATGGAGGATGTTTTATCCATGTAGATGTTTTATAAGAGTTTTGTACTTTTATACAATTAACAATTTCTAGTTTACATGTAACTTCTGAGCAGTGTGGTTCTCTGGTTCTAACTGCTGCATAAATTTAGAAATTCATCTTTCCTTTCGTAAACTGAGGAATAAAGAAAGAAAACAGGCTCAAATTTTTGAGCAGAGGGCTTCCGTGAGATGACAGTTTCTGACAGAAAACCACGGATGGATCAGCTTCTCAGTCACTGCTTCTCTTCAGTGTCCACCATGTGTGTTCTTAGAATCATGAAACACTTTTCTCTTGGAGAAAACTGGCCAAACACTCTTTTTGCTCTTCTGATGTGTAGACAAGGTTTAAATTAACTCGCAACAGCAGAGGAGCTTGAAATGTAGGGTGGTATACTACTTTATTTAAACAGTTGCTTCATGTTTGTCATTTTACATGGGTAATATTGTAAGACAAGTAATGACAGATGAAGACCCGCCTAGCAGAGGGAAAACTAAATTACATGACTTTTATTAAGGCCTAAATAAACCTATTAACCATTATCTGGAATACCAATTAGTAGAAAGAACACTGACAATTTTATTTATCAACATTAAACACAATTATTAATTACAGACCTGATGAATCTAGCAGCTAGCAGGCCATGTTGGATATGCTGGGACCTTAAGTCCATTATACGAGAGGAATGATTACCAAAATCCTCTGGGAAAATGAGTAATTGTAGTTGTAAAATTTTAATTGCCTTGGAATAAGGCACATTATATTTTCTTTTCTGATAATATAAGTAGTGTGACGTTAAGGTAATAAGCTTCAGTAGCTATAAATAGAAAATGAATTTGTTAGGTTTTAAAACAAAAGATTGATGATGACTTTTTAGTGTCATAGTGTTCAGTGTGAAGGAATACTGTAAATACATGCAGATTTTCTTTAGATACATTATTTAGTAGGTGGGCTGTTTCCTACTCAGTGAAAATTAATGTCGGAGGGAGCTTTTTGAATGGATTGCTATCGGTTAATAGGAATTATATAATTGAGAAAATATTTTCATTATGTTGTGATTGCAGTACTGTGAAATGAACATGTGACAAGTCTCGTTTTTCTGTGCCTTTTTTCTTTTTCTTTTGAAGATCCAAATTCCAGAATTTGTGGACATTTACTTATAGGGGCAGCCAAGAATTCTTTTGCAAAACTCATGGATAAAATCAGTCTGGCAATGGACAGTATACCTTTGCACAGCAACAGGAGTATTACATATGTAGAAAAAGACTCCCTGGTTCAGAGGCTGGCCCGTGGACTTCATAAAGTAAACACACTGGCCCTGAAATATGGTCTGCAAGGCCATGTGCCCGTTTTGGTATGTATGCAATTTCATTAAATAGGGATTTTAGAACTTGTAAATTTAATTCAAAGTCAAGTTTATTTGTAGCTTAAATTAGTTGTACACAAGTGTGTGCAAATTCTTTTAGATTTCATGTAATCATTTAATATGGTAAATAAAAGCACCTCCAAATAAGTGTCAATAATATCAAAGTACAAATGTTCTGGAATGAGTTCTGAATTTACTGTTCTTTGTAAGTATACTGCAACAGAATTGTGTAAGAAGTAATTGATTATTACATTTTCTAGTCATCTAGATTATTTCTTTCCTTCAGTTCATTTCATGTAAGGCAAGTTATTGATCACATAAAAAATAAAGCTTTCACTTAAACAAGTTTTAGTAAGAGCTGGTATTGTTCTCTGTGTATCCCAGGTTACATTTAATTTGGTAAAATGGTCATTGCTGTGGATTTCTTAGACAATCTGTAGTTACTTCTTGTAAAATTGCTCTTGTTTGACAACAGAAAAGCACAGCATCATTACAGAAGCAAATATTTGGATTTACACAAAGGCTGCATGCAGCAGAAGTGGAGCGTCGCTCACTGCGCTTAGAGGTCACAGAACTGAAACGGAATGTGAATGAAATGAAGAAGGAGCTTGACAAAGCCCAGGGTCTCCAAATGCAATTAAATGAATTTAAGCAGTCTGTAAGTATATATGATTTTTAAAGCCATTGCTTCAGTAAGCGCTTCTCTGATATTAAATATATATTGTATACATATAATATGTATATAAAATATCAGAGAGCAAATGTATGTTTGTTTTTATTAATTTTTTATATTTTTCAGATAAATTAGTCCCCTCAATAGAATTTCTTTAGAACACTTCCCTTCTAAAATGCCCTAACAATACACTTCAAACTTGCTAAGTGACTAGAACTTAAATGTTCTCATCACAGAATGAAGTAATTATGTGACTTGATAGAGTAGCTAATGGTGCAGTGGTAATTGTTTTGCAGTTTAGAAGTGTTTCAAATCAATATGTCATACATCCTAAACTTAAGCAATGTTATATGTTAATTAAATAAAAAGCACAGAATCATTAGAATCATCTCAGTAAAGAAAACTGAAAAAAAAAAAGTTACATCAGATGCTTAAAGGAGTACTGATTGTCTGTCAACAGAGCTCATAGCCCTGTTAAAACATGACTGTGACTGAAACATAGGAAATGATACTTCTATAGCAAATAAACGTTAGTTGAATAACTTGTTTGCAGAAAATGCAAAGAATGTGCACCAAGAAATGTTTAGTGTGAATTACTTTCACTGAAGTGTACAAATAAAAATAGGATTAATTGAAGTAATAATTGAAGGAATGAGATAAATAATTTCTCTATTTGACATACAATTATGTAGTATAACATTGTGATGATTTCTAACATTTTATGATCAATTTACTATCATGTATCAGGTACTGACCCTAACTGATTCATTTAGTCCTCTCATGTCAACAATAGTTCAATAGTACTTTTATCCTTTTTTTTTTTTAAACAGGTGAACGATGTAGGATACAGAACAGCTAAGTAACTTGCTCTAAGTCACACAGTTAGTATGTGAAAATTATGGGATTTGAAGCTCATAATTCTGACTCTAAAACTCAAACTTTTAACTACTTCACTATAGTGGTTAATGTTCATATCCAGCTATATTAATAAAGGATTATTATATTCAAAAGTATAAATGGCAAAATGATGTTATTTTCCTCTTAAAAAATTGGGGAATGTGTCTCAAATCATCATCTTTTATTTAATTCAGTCCAAGTGGGTAGGAGGCAAACAGAATAGTTTCTTCAACTTAGGCTAAAATTGTAACCTAAAGGGATACATCCTACCTGCTGAAAGTGTTTCAGTACTTGTATTATTTTGGAATACCATGTTCATCTACTGACACTTGTTCTTTAAAAGCTAACTCCCATTATCTTTTTCTTTTTTAGATTTTCTTAGCTCCATACATCTGCTTCCACACACTATCTCTTTCTTATTCTGCATTGCTATACTTGTTTGACCCTATTTATTCACAGAAGAGTGAACAGAATTGAGCCAGTCTCTGGGAGGGATATGTGGACAAGAGAGGGGCTCAAGTTAGCTCAGTTTTTAGGTAAAGGAGGCATTTTGGAGGAATGGGAAGAAGTCCTGCAAAATGATGAAGACTGTCATTTATAGAGGCCAAGTGGAGTGTAAAGAGCAGAATGTTCTGATGGCAAGAAGCAATAATTTAAAACAGTGTGACAAGTAAATGGTTGAAGTACAAAAATATTTTTTCACAAGACCCAGAGAAGTACTGTGGCCTTAGGGAATAGAGGGATGTTAGAAAGTTGACACTTCAAATTCTTTTCAACTGAACAATGGAAGTTATCAGTATTAAATAGATGTACATACGCAGTGTGATGAAGAGACCTGCATGGTTTCTTTCAGTTTTCTACATATTTCTCAGGTTAGCCATCATTTGTGAAACATTTCTGTTGTTTGTACTTCAAGATCACGATGTCTCTTGCCATTTGTTGTAGCTAGTTTTCATTTGTTTACATGTTGTACACAGGAGATAATACAAGTATGTCCTGCCCTCAATTCCATACCCCTTAAGGGATGACCTCTGTCTAGACCTGTCAGTGATTCCAGAGCAGTCATAATATTGTAAATGCTGTATTGTATATTACAGTGCAGATTTTTATTGGCCAGTGTTTATAATGAATTCATATTCTTGTATTCAACAGATACCTACTGAATGCCAGACTCTCCTTTGTGTGGTGGGCTGGCAAACTAAAGGAGGTCTGTGCCCCTTGGAGCTCAGGTCCTTAAATGTGTGGTTGGTGGAAGGGTGTGGACAGGCAATAAAAAAGTGAATAACTATATGAGATGAATTTAGATAATGGTGTTGGAGAAAATACAAGAAGATAATATGATAGTGTGAGTAGTGGTGGGAGTCAGAGAGGTATGGTGTGGTAAGGACTGTTCCCAAGAGAGGGTAGTTTGACCAGGGAAACCTGAATGGTAGCATAAACTGAACACAGACTTTTAGGTAATATTTTAAAAGCATAGGAACTTGTTAAAAGCTTTAATTTTCACAACTATTATCTTTATAAAAAGTGCTCTTGTATCCAGATTTAAACCGAATGTTATGGATTTACTTACAACTTGAAATGCTTGTTGGTGTTCAGTTGCTAAGTCATATCTCTTTGTGACCCCATGGACTGCAGCACCCCAGGCTTCTCTGTCCTTCACTATCTCCCAGAGTTTGGTGATGCCATCCAACCATCTCATCCTCTGTTGCCTGCTTCTCCTCTTGCCCTCAATCTTTCCCAGCATCAGGGTCTTTTCCAATGAGCTGGCTCTTTGCATTAGGTGGCCAAAGTATTGGGGCTTCAGCTTCGGCATCAGTCCTTACTGAGATTTTATTGGACTAAAAATGATAACTTTGACAGTATAGTTGTTGTGCTTTAAAAACCTGAGTGATAGTTTTTATCTTGATTTAGGAAATTAAGAAAAATGAATTGTACTTTTGTCATGTGTCATACATTTAGAGATGTTTGTATTCTCCTTATGTTAGGAAACAGAGTACTGAATATTAAACAATACTGCAGTTAACTTATGGTTAAATGTTTTTTCTTTTTTTCAGAAATTGATCACCCATGAGAAGTTTGAAAGTGCATGTGAAGAACTGAATAACGCATTACTTCGGGAACAGCAGGCTCAAATGCTACTGAATGAGCAGGCACAGCAACTACAGGAATTGAATTATAGACTTGAATTACATTCCAGTGAGGAAGCTGACAAAAACCAAACTCTTGGAGAAGCTGTTAAGGTAGGAAAACACCCCTTGCAGGAGTCCCTTCCTTCCTGCAGGTGAGTCTTTGAGGGAATCATGTCTATCTCTTGAATAGGGAAGTGATCCCAAGATACAAAATTTTGTTCTGTGTGAGCTTATAAGGATGAAACAAGACGTGGCTCTGGGACTTTAATTCCAAACTTGAATCGAAAATGTAGAAGTAGACTTTGTTAGTTGGGAACCAAATAGAGATTTTTTCCAGTAATAATTTTGTTCTTTAATTTATCTTCCTTATTTTCTCCTTTCTTTAGTTCTTTTTCTTGTTTTATGCCCTCCAAACATTGAAAATCCATGTGTCTTTTGGATTTGAAAGGTTTTGAGTCTCTCTGAATCTTATATTAAGGCTGTGTTTGAGGAGATTAGAAAGAGTTGTTCTCCTTGTCATTTGTTGGTGGGAAAGGTGTTTAGAAGGGAAAAAAGAAGTTTTAATAAAATAATTGTCACTTGAAAAACTTCATTAATGGGTTTAGAACTGTTATATCTCTTGGAAATGTTGCCTGTAAATTGTAATAGAATTTTAGTTTATGATTATATTATTTGTGAAATTTTCACTAGTGAGATTATACACACTGGAATAGAACAACTAATTCCAGGAAAACCAACATAATGTAACACAGCCTACACGGTAGGTATTATGTATCATACCTAAATACAGTAAGAAACTCAGAGTGGGTTATAATTAATTATAAAATTAATATATTTTTATTCTAACAGTCAACTACTAATATGAATGCTAAAAATAAAATAGGCAAAATTTGTTGAGAACTCACAATCCTTAATGGGATTATTCTCATTTTGTAGATAAGAAAACTGAGATATAAGGAGACACATAATTTGCACAATCATTAGTAAGTTATAGACCTAGGCATTCAGATTTTGCATCCATCTTCCTTACATTGACTGTATTACTGATAGGCAGCATACTTATGCTAGGCTCTGTACTGTGGTCTCTATATTGTGGTCTCTTTTTTTAAAAATTTTTTATATTGTGGTCTTGAATCATTTTGTTTCATTCTTAAACTACCTCCTGTGAAATTGGTACTGTTATTGTTACCATCTTTTTGATGAAATTGAAAGAGTTCAGTGGACTTGCTCAGGGTCTCCTGGCCCATAAATATTGAAACTGGTAGTTTTTTTTAAAAAAATTATTAAAAATCATTAACCTAATTTCTTAAGATCTAAGTTTATTTCAGTTCCCTATTCTTTATATATTTTTCTTTTTTGCCATTATAAGTAATTCTAAGATAAGCAAGCCTGCAGCTAAATCTTCTTACACATATTGTGATTATTTCCTTAGTATTAATTCCTAGGTAAAGAATCACTAGGTCTACAATGACATATTGGAGAAGGAAATGGCAACTTACTCCAGGATTCTTGCTTGGAGAATTCCATGGACAGAGGAGCCTGGTGGGCTACAGTCCATGGGATTGCAAAGAGTTGGACATGACTGAGTGACTAAACACACACACACAATGACATATATTTCAAATTGTAAATATTATCAATTGACTTACAGCAAACTTTTAACATTCTCTCCTAAAATGCATGTAAATTTCACTTTTTACTCAAGCTGGCTGTTACTGACACTGTTAAAGCATATTTTTTGTCAATTTGATCAATGTATCATTGTTACTAGAATTATATTTCTTTGATTACTCATCAAGTTGAATGTTTTTGTAAGTATATTGGCCACTGAACAACATTTTTATGTTCCATATCCCATTAATAGATAAAGTGATTAGCCATGCTTTGAAAAAGCATTTAACTCATATTGGAATCTTTTTGAAATAGCTTATAATTATACAATTATAATTGTATACTATACTATAATTGTATACTATACCTTATATAATTTATATATATTTATACCTTATATATATAATTTATATTTATACCTTATATACTATACCTTATATAATTTATATTTTAATATAATTTTATTAATGATATAATTATATTAATTATGCTATAATTTATATTTTTATATATTATGAATTATATAAGGTATAAATATATGTAAATTATATAAGGTATAGTATCTTCCAGCAGGTAAAAAGCTGTTGATATTAATTTCTTTAAAATACCAGTAGCTTAAATATTAGGAGGAGAAGGGGAAGACCGAGGATAAGATGGCTGGATGGAATCACCGACTCAATGGACATGAGTTTGGGTAAACTCCGGGAGTTAGTGATGGACAGGGAGGCCTGGTATGCTGTGATTCATGGGGTCGCAAAGAGTCGGACACGACTGAAAGACTGAACTGAACTGAACTGAAGTATTATTGTCAGGAGTGGAGAATTGTTTAATTACCGTCTCTTAATTAGAACTAGCAGGTGGTAATGTGAAAATGCTCTCTTGTGGGAGGCAGCATGGTTCAGTGGAAAAAGCGCTGGCCTTGGACAAGTATTTTCAATTTCAAATCCCAGTACTGTCACTTTGGCAAATAATTTAGGCTTTCTGAGCCTCAGTTTCCTCTTCTGCAGAATTATGGATAATGATACTAAAGTTATGGAATTTTTATGAGAATTAAGATACTGTTTGAAAAGTAAGTTTATGCTTGATAAATGTTCGTTTGTGCTTTCCAATAACACTTAAATAGGTTTTTTGTGTGTCCTGTATATAAAACTTCTTTTAAAAAATAAACTGTTGCTGCTGCTTCTTTATAAAAACAAAATAAGATCATGAATAGAAGATATGGAAAATTCAGAAAACAAGTTACTGATAACTTACCATTTAATAACACCACTGTTTACATTTTGCCATTTTGTTTATTATAGAAAGAAAAATGATTAAAGTTTTTATAAATCATACTTTGGGCTTGGTGCTCACAATGACCTTCCTTCATGATACAACTAGATTTTGGATAAAATACTTTATTATAGCAGTGCACTAAGGAGTAGTGGAAATCTCCAAGGACAAATACCAAACTCCAACAAAGCCCAGAGGGCAGAAATCAGAGTTGGCATTGTGAATGGTTTCTGGGCTTACCCTGCAGGTAAATTCCAAAACTAGTGCTGAAAAGAAAGTTAGCAAGTCCTCTCCGACTCTTGCGATCCCATGAACTGTAGCCTGCCAGGCTCTTCTGTCCATGGGATTCTCTAGACAAGAATACTGGAGTGGGTTGCCATCTCCTTCTCCCCTAGTGCTGGAAGAAGGAGATAAAGAGTTAGACTCCCATAAGCAGCTGGACTGTGAATCCTTGATTCCCACATTAAGGAATTGCCTAATAACCTGAATGGGATAATCTCAGGTCAGTAATATCTAAGTAGAAACCGAGATAAAACTTCCTCTAGAAGAAAGCTTGCCTAATTTAGTTTTTTTTCAAGAGCTTCCACAGACTAAGCTCAACCAAGTAACTGGCTCTTAAATAAATAGATGCATTAGTCTTACTCTCAGCCACATTGCTAAATAACTTTGTAAATTCTATTAATACTTTGTATGTACTTCCCATAAAGGAATTTCTATGTAGTGTGTGTTAGTCACTCAGTCATGTTTGACTCTGTGACTTCATGGACTGTGGCCTGCCAGGCTTCTCTATCTGTGGGATTCTCCAGGCAAGAATATTGGAGTGGGTTGCCATTTCCTTCTCCAGGTGATCTTCTAAACCCAGGGATCGAACCTGGGTCTCCTGCATTGCAGGCAGATTCTTGACCATCTGAGCCACCAGGGAAGTCCCAATACTTTATCTGTACTTTCCAGAAAGGATTTTCTATGTAGACCATCATATTATTTGTTCTGTAGTTCCAGTTTTGTTTCTCTGTTCCAAACCTTAATCCTTTATTTTCTCTTCCTTACTGCAATGGCTGGGATACAATGTTGAGGAGAAGTAAAGGCAATTTTAAGAATTATTTCTTAAATTTCTTCATTAAGAAGTAAGTTTGGTATAGGTTGCTATGAATTGCTCTAAATTGATAATCCTTATCAGGTTAAAGGAGTTACCTTCCTAGATCATGGATAATTTTGAAAATCATGAATGGATATTGGGTATTATGAATATATTTTATGCATCTATGGAGTGCAGTGTTGGTTGATTGATTTAATCACTAAGTTGTGTCTGACTCTTATTGACCCCATGGACTGTGCTCTGCCAGGATCCTCTGACCCTGGGATTTCCCAGGCAATAATACTGGAGTGGGTTGCCATTTCCTTCTGGGGGTGGGGGCTAGGGGAGGGTCTTCCTGACCCAGGGATCGAACCTTGGTCACCTACACTGCAGGTGGATTCTTAACTGATTGAGCCACCAGGGAAGCCTGCGATAGTCATGATTTTTCTGTTACTCTCTTAGCAAGTTGAAATATATCAGGAATTGGCAAACTCTGGCCTACAGCCTGTGTTTGTATAGTTTGTGAGCTGTGAATTGCTTTTACCTGTTTAAAGGTTCATAAACAATGAAAAATTAAACAAAACCAAAGAAGAATAAGTGAGAGACTATATGTGGCATACAAAGGCTAAACTATTTCTTGTGTGCTGACCCCTGAATTACATTAAGTATTCTAACGTTAAAACAGCCTTGCATTCCTGAGGTAAACGCAAGTTGGTTGTGATGATTTTTTTTTTAACTACTTTGCTACACTCAGTTTAAGATTTTTAACCTAGGACTCTTCAGTCTTTGTACCATGATCATGATCACCTTGTAATTTTTCTCTCTTATACTGTCCTTTTCACTTTTTGGTATCAGGGCTTTGCTATCATGAAAGGTTTCTTACTCCAAACATGTGGAGTAGAAACTTTTGGATAGAATATAACAAATGAATTATGGGATATATAGCCAAGCTTAAAACAAAGTGAGAAAAATGTTCATGTACTGGAAATAAAGAAGATATCCAAAAGCAAATGGTAAGAGGAGGTGAAGTCTAAATGGCTCATTGGGATGTGCAAACCTAACTGGAGACTGAAGTTAATAGTCATAGTTTTAGGGAAATCTAGGCTTCAAGCCCTGTGGACTAAAAAAGAGCTACCCACGAGAACCATAGGGT